ATTAGAATTACTATTCCTATAATTACTGTTATTTATTATTTACTATTATTACTTGATCACTCCTACTATATATGTTGTTTAATAAGAGCCAAATATGCATAGATAACATATAAAACATATATATATATATATATATATATATATATTAACTATTTTACTCCTATTAATTCGTTAATAAATAGGTCAAAATTTTTTCCAAATTGATCCTCACTTCTTCTGCTCCTCTTCCATTTCAATTTTCTCTATTTTTTTTTCAAAAAAAAAAAAGTGCTCCCAAAAATTTGAAATACTCGATGGGTACAATACTTCTGCAGTACACTTCGGACGTACCCATATATTGCGAACCCCATTTGTCCCATTTTCAGTACTTTTTTTTTCCTTCCTGTCCCTACTCTTCGTTCCCTTCTTTTGCCCTTGTCCTATGCATTTTCCCATAATAAAATAACTTTATTGACAGTTTTCCTCAAGCATATTTACCATTAATTAATCAATTAGTTAATCGATAAAACGAATAACTCTCTTTGTTCACTTTAATATTAGCTGAAGTACCATTCTCATTTAGTTTATTTGTAATTCCATTATTTTTTATATCATGTTTAATGAAATAACATTAATCATTTGAGTTTACTAATTACTTTCTATGATTCGATTCTTTACCGGAAAAATAAAAAACGGGAAAAATTGTACAATTCTTATTATCAAACAATATTTTCTCTCTCATTTAATAATTTATATTTTTTTTTCTCAAATTTTCTCAATTTTTTTTTTTAAAATTTGTCATTTCATTCTTCTCCTCTTCTTTTTTCATTATCCAGAAAAAAAAGAAGAGAAAATGAAATGGAAAATAATGGGAAACTTAGGGACACTATGAACAGTTGTTGCTTATTGAGTAAATTGATTAATTAATTAGACTATGCTAATGAAGGCAATTTTATGTTCCTTCACATTTTAATCTGCAATTTGTTGTAATAAAGTTTGATTTTTGTTTCCTTTTTTTGGAATTTAATAAATGAAATTTTTATGTTACATTTTCATTTGTTATTTTTTGATAATTTTTAATTTTTTAAATTTAAAAAATTTATATTTTTTCCTTTTTTTTTGGTAATATCATTTATTAAAAGATGAGAAATAATAAGTTGAAAAATTTTTGTATATACTTGGAAAATTTTCAAATGCTTCATTTTGTGGTTTTTTTTTTCCACGAAAACTTTTACTTTTCTATCATTGTAAATTTTTAAAAAAAAAAGAAAAAAAATCCAATATTATTGAAAAAATTTTTACACATATACATAGAAAATTTTCAAATTATCATATTTATTTTTCCATTATTATATTTGTTTTTCTTTTCTTCTTTTTTTCCCCTCCCACTTTCTTTAAATTTCATTTAATTTCATCATTCCTTAATGTTTTTTTTTTTAATTTTTGATACAAGAAAACTATTAAATGTTATTATACCGGAATGATAAAAGCTTAAAAGTCCGGAATGTAAAACAGTCTATTAATGAACTGCCAA